AATAAACCCCATTTCACAAAGGAGAAAACAAGAAGTTCAGAGAGGCTAAGAAACTTGCCTAAAGTTACACTTCTAAGAAATGGCAAAACTGAAATTAGTACCCAGGTTTGTTTGACCCTCAAATTCTGGAAACCTTTGGGATTCCCCAAACCCTGAATGAGAAACTTCCCATTACAGTGCTTCAGCGTTCTGGAAGGCATAGCATGGTGAGAATTATTCCAGCCTGCCTATGTCTCTAGGGCCTCCCTGTTCTTTGCCCATGCCCATTTCTTCTGTAGGACTCCAAGTGGCATCCTTGCAGGGATTTCCCTCAAGAGGACCAAGGACTAAGCGAGAGACATCTCTGTCCTTCTTCAGGAGCCTTCACCTCTACCTTGGTTCACTGCATTTGTTTTCTTTCAAGACCAGGTTATTGTCGCTCTTCTCCATGCCTTCCACAATTCCCACTTGAGGAAGAGACAGACTTTGAGAAAGGGAGAACTAAGATGAGGTCCCTTTGTCTTGTTAGGTGGCAGACAATAGAGTGCTTCATTAAAGATGCTGGATACATTTTAGGTTGGGGGTATCAACTAACTGCATGAGGACTGGTCCATCCTGCTTATGTGTGCTACCTCTACCACTACTAAACTACTCCTTCCTCAGTCCTCTGATGGATTGTGTGCTTGAGTGCCCAGTGGCACTGGAACCCTGAGTGACTTCAGTTCCCAGCTCTCACACAGCCATGCTTGAGCACCTAGAGCTGGGGCCTGTGGTGTCGGGAGGGGTGGGTGTGCTATAGCATACATGAATAAGCACAGAGGGAAGAGAAAAGGGGGACAGAAATTATATAGCTGATTCATTGTGGAGGAAGGGAGAAGGCGAGAAAGGTGGTCTACCTGAGGAGTGATGGAAAACAAAGAAAGTCAGGGACATAATAGAGCCAGGAATAGAAAGGTGGGAGGTATCTGGAAGAGGAAATGCAAAGAGTAGGAGTTTGGAAACCAAATGCCACTTGTGTGGCCATGAGAGCTCAGCTTCTCTAAAGTGTGTAGACTGTTAATTGGGATATAATTGTACTTTACTCAGAGGACAACAAAGAGTACAACAACAGACTTAGGCAGAGTAGAGGATCTGAGGATGACTCAGGATCAAGCAAAAGTTTTGACATGGAATCACAATGAGTTGAAATCAACTCAGTGACACCAACAACAACTCAGAGGGTCATTATAATTAAACTTGAGATTCTGGCAGACAAGGTGTTAAACATACACACACAGTTAATTCTCTTCTTCTTCCATTTAAGGCTTTCCCCTTTCTTAGACTTCAAATGACATAATTCCAGGACACACAGGGCCCGAACACCCCAGACCTTGCCTACCAGACACTGCCTGTTCTATAATTGAGGAATCCTGTGAAAATATCAGTAACCATAGATTTTTACTAAACTTTTCCATTTTGTTAAATTTGGGGCACTCCTCCTCTGCCTGCAACATCACCTTCAACCTACTCTTGCCTTTATTCTGGTGATGCATAACCCTTAGGATATACTGAATTGAATGTAGGGAAGTGTCCTACCAGATTTCACACTGGAGATGAACCATTTCAACTTATTGCTACAGGTTTCAGTCGCACTCATTCTTGCCAGTCTTTCTTCCCTTTTGACTCTTCTCATCTTATTTCCCTGCAACTTATCCTCCCCTGTATGTCAGAATGAGCGAAACCTGACTTAAGAAACTCAAGAGACATCACATTGCCCACTAAATCAACAGCCAACACTTACCCTGCATTTTCATATCTTCTGCCTCAAACTACAGTTATTCTTTACTTTCCAATGGCATTCATTAGGGATCTCAGGTGGCTTAGTGGTAAGGAGCTATGCTGCCATCCCAAAGGCACATGGTTCAAATCCACCGGCTGCTCTATTAAAGGAAGATGGGCGGTCTCCTCCTGTGTGATAAACTGCTTCTGAAAACATGCTAGAGAGTCAGCTACGAGTTACCACTGGATCGTACATAATAGCAACATGGCCCTCATTAAAGGGGCTTTGGTGGCTTAGTCCATTTGAAGTGCTCCCACCCTAAAAGTCGTGTAACTCTCAATTCAAAGCCTGCAGTGGCTCTGGAGGAGGAAGATGGATGGTCTCCTCTGGTGTGATTTACAGACCCTGAAAACCCACTGGAGGGGCAGCAAGAATCCATTCCAACTCCACAGAAATGAGTTTGGTTTTACATTTTGACGGCCCTCTTTAGATAGCAATCTATTTTGAAGCAAGACTCTACCATTCATTCAACAAGTATTTATTGAACATTTCTGTGCCAGGCAATGTTCCAGATGCTCAGGATACATACAGTAGAGAAAGAGGCATACAAAAATCTCTGCCCTCAAGGAGCTTACATTCTACTTAGGAGGGAGGAGAAGACAGAGAAACTGTAAAAAAAAAAAAAGAAAGAAAAGTAATAAATAAGTAAATTATACAAAAGTAATCACATTAAAAAAACATAAAAAAGAAAATTACACACGTTAGAAGGTGGTAAGTAAATTGTACTTATTAGGTGATATGTGATGGGTTTTGATTGCTTTGGGATTCACTCATCAATCTGACTAATAAAATACTCATCATTAAAAAAATTTAAAGGTGCTCAATTCAGTTCAGTTGAGATGGACCAAGTTCTAAGGCTCTGGCTTACAAGGTCAGGTGCATGAATCCTAACATCCCGTGGGTAAAGAGGAGACAAAAGAGGTGTGTCCACCAGAGGCCAGGACTTCAACTATCACTGAGGAATCCAGGTCAGTTCTCAGTTTGGCCACCAGAGGTCACTTTACTCCTGTAAATAACAATCCGAAGCCATGCGCTAAAGACACCAAAAAATGTCTTATTCCAACTATAACACATGGAGAAACACACGGAAGATTCCCCAAGTCCCTCTCTGCCTTCCTCATACATGGACACATGCATGGTGACAACTGCCTCACAAATGTTAGGGTCTGAAGATACCTTAATGTCTTTGCAGCCTCTCCTGGCCCATCTCAACTTGGATAAAGAGGTAACAAACAGTAGGTGGCATAGGAACCACTTTCCATTTCCTTAGCCCCAGGGTCTTCCTATTTGATTCTTACTTCCCTGTAAACTCCTGTATCCTAGCCCTGGCACAGCTCCTCCCCCTCCTCTTGGAAGTCTGTGTGACTAGTTTCACCTTCACCCCAAAGCTGCTGCACAGTAAGTTCAACATAATGCTCCACTGTGAGTGCTGCTCCTACTCTGTCCTCCTTTCCCTCATTCCCAAACACAACACTGTATATATAAGGATATAATGCCCTGGGAAGAAGTCACATATGAACTCCTAATACTTTAGTAGAGATAAGGTTCTCAAAGTATGATTCAGGGACCAGGACTTTGAAGAAGCCAATGAGGTCAAAACACTTCTCATAATACTATGACTTAAATGCCACATTTTCTTTCACTCTTATTCTCTCACAAGCATAGAGTTTTCCAGAGGCTTCCTCATGTATGATGACATTATTGATATCAGAGCAGTAATAAACTACGTGCTTTAAAAACCTACTGGTTTTAATGTCTAATGCAGTAATGTTATTGTTGTCAAGTGCAGTAGAGTTGTAGATGACTCATAGTGACCCTATGAATGAAAGACCTGAACACTTGTATAACTTTGGTCATTTCTCCATGTTTGTAGAGTTTCTAGAGGAAAGCCATTGCAGAAGTGGATTCACTCCTCCTTCCAAGTTTGTTTTAATAATCAGAAAACTCCACAAAACACCGTCCACCATGGGTAACCATTATCGCATTAGGCACATCAGTGTCACAGTGGTTAGCATCACAGCAACCACAAGTTACCTCTGCACAGCAATGCACAGACCAGTGCTATCCCACTTAGAAGAATGTTTGACAAAAACCAGTTTAACCAGGCTGAGGGCCATAGATTAAAATCACCCACCTTGGGCTTGGTAGCATAACTTTCTGTCCACTAGGCCAACAGAGCTCTCTCTCTATGTTGTTGTTGTTATTATTGTTAAGTGCCCTCAAGTAATAGCAACAGAAGAAAGCATAACAAAAGTTCTTAGGGATCTCCAATTTTTAAGCAAAAAGCCCAGGCTGGTTTAGTACAAAGAATTTTCTCATTAATCTTGCCTCAGGCAGAGAGGAAAACCTTAAGGATTTAGAACAGAGGAGGCTCTGAAAGGGCAGTGAGGTGGAAAGTTGAGGGGCAGGGGAGAAGGGGACCAGGTTGGGGGTGGGGCTGGGGCTGGGGAGAGTTCTGGTGGCCTAGTGGTAAGAGGTTGCACTGCAATTCCAAAGGCAAGCAGTTCGAATCCATCACCTGGTCTGTGGGAGAAGGATGGGCAGCCTCCTCTCCTGCAATTTACTGCCTCTGAAAACCCATTGAAGGGTCAACTATGAGTCAGTTCTGACTTGACAACAAGAACTACCCAAAGCTGGGTGTTGGATATTAATTGCTGCAAGTCATTCAAATAAGAAGGAAACCAATCCTATCCATGCTAAATAAACTCTTGTTTTCCTTCTATCTTTATTGTATCTCAATACTCAGGACACCAGACTGAGATGAGAGGGGATGGTGTTCCTTGCTCTTAGATCCCTGAAAAGTCAGCAGCTGAACTCCGTAGCTTGGCCCACCAAGGCCTGAGATTTCTTGGCTTTTGGAACGATGTGATATGTATATATTCAGGATACTGTTACCTCTTTCATCTACCAGTTCCTACTCCTGCCAAAGACATTCTCATTCAATCTTGTGGAAGGGCAGGCTTATGGAATTTTTTCCCTATCACCAAGAAAGAAGGCCTTGTGTGGTCACCATCACCACCGATTTAAAGTCCTTCCACCAGCATGCTTCCTTCTTTGTACCCTTTGCTTCCACATGTTGTTCTCTTCTGCATTTATGGGCAGGGTTTGACATGTCATCTCACGTTCACACCCTGCAGTGAGCAAAACAAAAAGGTGCTGAGGAGGTTGGAGGAGGTTAACGGTTCTACGGAGCCACGTTCGTTCAGAGCACCAAATCCTCCCGGCACTGGGTAGGAGTTCGAGGACAGGAGGGCCTGAGCAGGCTTGTGGCGTCCGGCCTAATGGTGTGGGTGGTCTCAGCGGAAAGTTCAGGCAGCGTCTCCCCAGTTCTGGGGGTGGCTAAGGTCCTAGTCCGGATCCGAGTGCCCAGGTTGCGTAGGGTGTTGCGGAAACCCTCGGCACTGAAGTAGTACACTAGGGGGTCCAGCACGCAGTTGGCACTGGCCAGCAGCACCATCACCATCAGCACCCGGCGCACCTGGTCAATGGCCGCCTCGCTCGCCACCACCAGCTGGCTCCGCAGCAGCCCATAGACAGCCAACGTGGAGTTGTAAGGTATGAAGCACAGCAGGAAGATGATGAGGTTGGCCAACAGGAGGCGCACTGTTTTCCTCCGCCTGTGACTCTGAGTGGCACTGGGTCGCGCCAGCGTCCAGAAGACCCGGACGGATGAATAGACAATGGCCACGAGGGGCAGCATGAAACCCAGCACCTCGGCCAGAAGCACAAGTGGCAGCAGCCTGCCCTTCCACAGGTCGCCGAAGCTCTCGAAGCACAGGCGCGCCTCCCCTTCGCGCTCCCCGTCCTGGTATCTGCACCGGGACGGGCGGTGCACGCGGGCCGCGGGCACAGCAGACACCAGGATGAGCAGCCATACCCCGAGGCACAGGTAGCGTGCCATGCGGGGCCGCCGCAGGTGGCGCAGGCGCAGCGGGTGCACGATCGCAGCGTAGCGGTCCACGTTGATCAGCGCCAGGAATATGCAGCTGCCGTACATGTTCATCTGGAAGATGGCGCCCGCTATCTGGCACAGGAAGTCTGGAAAGGCCCAGTAGTGCCATTTGTAGTACAAGAGGCGCAAGGGCAGCGAGAGGGTGAAGAGCAGGTCGCTGGCCGCCAGGTTGCACATGTACACGCTCACTACCGAGTGCGCGCGCAGCAGGCACAGAAAGACGCAGAGGGCCAGTGCGTTGAGGAGGCTCCCAGCGGCCAGCACCACACAGTAGACCACAAAGTGAAGGTGGTGGGTGGGTCGGTAGTCCGGACAGAAGGGAATGGAGTTGTTGGTAATATTGGTGTTGGCTGTGGAGTTGGCTAACATCTTGCCAACGTGAGAGCGGGAGCCAGGCCCGGTCACCACGGAGCATACCAGGTTTCTGGCATCGCTTTCAACCCCAGGCTGTGGGCCTGCAGGCTGCAGAGACGGGCAGCCAAAGCAAGCAGAGGCAGAGCAAGGGCAGATGGCTGCCAGTGGTTGGATTCCTTTGGTTGCAGCTTAATCCGTATTGGCAACCTGAAATGAAAAGGTGAGTCAAAAGTCAGGGTAAAACAAGGGTGGGTACACAGACACAAATGTGTATCTAGTCAAATTAGCTGGCCTCCTTGTCTCAGTTTCAAGTCATTCCCCCACCTTCTACCTGGCCAGAATAGTGTAGCACAGTTTTACCTGCCAAGGCCCTGAGTCAGAAAACCTGGGTTTAAATCCAGCCTTTGTCAACTTGCCTATTTGTGTGACCTCAGAACTAAGTTACTTAATCTTGCTGAATCTCATTCTCCTATCTAAACAAAACAGTGTTAATAGCTCCTATTAAGGAATGAGGGAGCTCTGGTGGCCTAGTTAGTAAGGAGTTGCACTGCCAACACCAAGACAAGTGGTTCAAATCCACCAGCTGCTGGAAGAGAGAAAATGGGCAATCTCCTCCCTTGTGCTTAACTGTCTGAAAACCTACTGGAGGGTCAGCTTATGAGTCCGTTCCAACTCAACAGTACACACCAACAACATTAAAGAATGAGGGAACTCTGGTGGCCTAGTGGATAAAATGTTGCACTGCCAGCCCAAAGGCAGGTGGTTTGAATCTACCAGTTGCTCAGTGTGAGAAAGATGGTCAGTCTTCTCCTGTGCAGTTAGTTTATAGCCTCTGAAAAGCCACTGGAGAGTCAGCTCTAAGTTGGTTCTGGCTTGAAAGCAATGAGTTACTAAGGAAAGTATCAAGAAGTTAAATGAGAAGAGGGAAAAAAAGAGGTTCAATGAGATGATGAATGTAAAACACTTGGGTCACTATGATCCATTCCCTCTCTTCCTCCCAGAAATGCTAATTGAGCCTTTGGAGGTGCCATGTTCACAACAGTGAACATAACAAAGCCTGGCCCCCACTGAGTTTGCATCTCATTGGAGAGAGAGAAAAAAGTGCTAAACAGGTAATACGTCTGTCAGGCAGTGAGAAGCACTTGGAACACCTTTCTGGGCCTGATACTGTGCTGACTCCCATTATCTAAAGAGTAAAGTTCAAACTCTCAAGTACACTTATCACGTCTGCCATTGCTCCTGCTTAGGCTAGGTTTGGGCTGATAGCAACCTGGGTTCAGCTTCATCTCTTACCCAGTTTCGTCTGTCAAATGGCAATCACAGAATTGCTGCACTGACAGCTGCACTGAGCTGTCTGCCTGGCAGCCTTGGGCAGGGCCACATCAGCATAAACGAGACAGCACCGTCTTGCCAAGTGGAGGAAGGAAGGAAGGGCCCGTGTGTGAGCTTCTGCAGGTGCTTCTCTGAATTAATTAATGAGCATCCCAGAGGAAAGTGCCATGATAAGGGAGAGACCGTGGTTCGGTAGGGAAGGCTCCATGGGGACCCCTCTAATGCAGATCCCAGAGAGGACTCTCAGCCCAGAGTGTATATCTGTGAGGGAGGAAGAGCTGAGCTCAGGCAGCAATTCTCAGGATATTACCAAGAGGTAGAGAAGCCGGGTGACAAGCAATGGTCTAAAGATCCCATATACTTCAACACCACAAGCCCCAAGTAGCTAGCTCTTCTCAGCAACCACACACACCATCTTAGTTGGTCTGAAGCCCTGAACACATCTCTCAAGACACTGAGCTTCATCTTTTTGGCTGTTGATTCTAACTCCCATAGCAACTCTGTAGGAGAGAGTAGAACCACCCTCAAGGGTTTCCAAAGCTGGAAATCCTTAGAAGCAGACTGCCACATCTTTCCCCTGATGAGGCGCTGGTGGGTTTGCGGTGCCTACTTTTTAGTTCATAGTTGAGCGCTTAACCACTGTGCTGCCAGGGCTCTTATTCCTTTCAAAAGCAACTGTTAACATTCTGACATGGAACTAAATTATAAACTTGACTCAAACAGATTTTCTGGTGGATTTTTTATATATTCCCCAACTTGTAGTGATTTGATACTTCAAAGAGGTTATTGTTGTTGCTGTGTACCATTGAGTCAGAACCAACCCATAGCTGACCCTCCAGTGGGTTTTTCAGAGGCACTAAATCACTGGAGAGATTGTCCATATTTCTCCCATGCAGCAATTGGTGGACTCAAACTGCATATCTTTGCCTTGGCAGCATGATTTCTTACCAGCAAGCCACCACAGCTCCCTTATAAGAAATAAAGAAACATTTTCTGGAAAACAAAAATTTTATCAATGATGGTAACACTAAATAAAGCTTAAAAACGTTCTGTGGTATGATACATCAATTTTACATGACCTTTTAATACCATCAAATGATTGGGTGGAATTAAGCAAAAAGGTGCTTATGGCCTACCAAAAGGACTGAACTTTGTATCACTTGTCAACAACTTGTCTAAAGCCTGAGCAACAGAGCCCTGTCCTGCCCCTGAGGCCTGATGGACTGTGAGACCAAAGAGGAGGGAGAGGCCTGCTGTGGGCATGACTAAGAAGCTGTCTTGAGCCATTTCTGATTCTGAATTGTAGCCTGTTAACTTCCCTGGCAAATCCCTTAACTCTGAATACAGCCTGTGAATCCAGCAAAGAAATAGTGTGGACCTGTGTCAGATAACCTAATAAGTAAGGCAAACACAGTCTAACTTGCGCTTGGTTGCTAATCTGTAGCACATTGTTTCACATGTTTTTCACCACATCTTTGATGTGGTAAAACTCATGTGAAACTGTTACCTATAGATTAGTAAGTAAACCCTTGCTTTTTGGGCATTCTGTCCCTGCACAGAAGGGATGACTAGTGTCAGTATCGGTAAAAAAGTTGGCAAGAGGAGGTGCGTCTGGCCTGCGTCTCATAGGAATCAGTCTTGGGTGGCCCTTTCTCCAGGCCCCTTGTAAAGTTAGAGGAGATTAGGTGCCCTCACCACATCATTTTTACGATGTCAAACCAAATAAAACCGGACTCATTTCCGGGTACACTCCACCCTACCCTTGTTTCTTTGCCCCAGTCACACTAATAACAATTGTGAACATACCTGATTGTTTTCAGGACTCTACCTTTGCAAGTGCTCTATCTTCAGCTTGGAATGCCCTTCTTCCCTTTCTCCAATTGACAAATGGCTATTTCTCATGGCTCTGTGAAGCCTTTCCACCCCCACAGGTAGATTCCTCTCCATCACTGTGCTGCTGCAGCACTTTGTGCAGAGGGTTATCATAGCTATTACATGGACTGCAATTAGCTGTTCTTAGTCCATCCCTCCCACTAGACTGTGAGCTCCTTGAGGGAGGGACTATGGACTATGGCTTACTCAGTTTGGAATCTCTAGCAGCTACTGCACATAGTGAAATAAATGTAGAGTGAACAAAAGCAGCTCTGGATCACTGAGCACTCTGATCACTACATCCCGGGGGAGTCTATCTACATAATTGCTCCTCCTTCCAATACCCTTTCAGATGTGTCTTCCTCCTCATTTTTATAGGAAAGGAGATAGAAGTTAAAGAGGTCAGTGAAGTTAGAATGAAAGTCAAGGGCCACCTGACTGTAAAGTCTGAGCTGTCCCCTATTACTTTTCCACAAGAGTGTGGACACTGCAGAGGACACCTGACCTTTTCAGCTGCCTAAGTGAAATCTATGCCTGTAAATTACACTTCCTCTTTTGTCCAATTTAAATACATGTATTTTAATAACCAACTACTTTCTCCCATTTTTAGCACTGATAGTACAAATTCATCTCTGTTACACACATATGTTTCTTTTTAACAATTTCTTCTTAAGCATTTAGTTTGCTGCTTCAAACTTTTGAGTTATTTTATATGTATCTGTTCTATTTACCCAACTATATAGTGAGGTCCTTGAGGGATGTCTTCGCCTGCTTTCCCGCCAAAGCCCTTCCCCACATCCTGCCAACAGTCTTTGTACTTGTGGCGGTGATGTTAGGTGCTGTGGGCTTGGCTGACACATAGGGACCTTTTACACAAAAGGAGAAACACCTGCCTGTTTCTCTGCCGTCCTCAGAATCCATAATCGTTGGAATGTTTGAGCCCACTTTTGCAGCCACAAGAGCTCTGGTGGCACTGTGTTTACAACATTCAGCTGCTAACCACAAGGTCAGAAGTTCAATCCCACCAGCTTCTCTGTGGGAGAAAGAAGAGGCAGTTTGCTTTTATAATAATTTATTGCCTTGGAGACGATATGGGCAATTCTGCTCTGTTCTACAAGTTTCCTCTGAGTTGGAATCAACTTTGTGTTAGTGGGTCTAGGATTTTTTTGGTTTGACTTTTTTTTTACCCTTTATTTCATCAAGCATGATGTCCTTTCTTCAGGGCCTGGTCCCCCCTGATAACATGTCCAAAGTACATACGATGAAGTCTTGCCAGCCTTCCTTCTAAGGAACATTTTAGCTTTCCTTCTTCCAAGACAGATTCCTATTATCTGACCTTATTGACTGTAGAGAACCAACCCTTTCTCTCCATTTACCCACCCAAAAATCCTGTTACCATGGCTCCTGAATTTGTCTAATCATCTAACCACTCTTGTGGTCTTCTGAGCTATCATGCATAACTTTCTTAGTTTTGGGTTTTGGGTTTTTTGCCCCCATGCTGTATACTGTCGAGTCAGATCCAACTGGCACAGGAGGAGATGGCCCCTCCTTCTCTAGCAAAGCATTTGGTGGATTCAAACAGTGTGCCTTCAGGATTACAGCACACCTTCTTGTCACTAGGCCACCAGAGCTCCCCACTTTCTTAGTTTTAAAAAAGAAAAGACTAGATCTCTTTAAAAGGCCTGTTTGGTAAATGACTTGCATTAAAATGTCAGTAGCAGTTTACATTGTCATTTCAGCAACATTTTATCACACTTAGCTGTTACTTGAAGAAACAGTAGCTCCTAACAATTAAGAGGCACATACTAGGC